GCTTGAGATCTTTGTAATTGGGCATCATTTGGATCAATGTGCACACGGTATCATATTTTCCATCCAAGGCTCTTAGGATCTTCTTGATGATTAATCTATCGGTCATCTCTTCACTTCCTAAGCCGGCAATCTCATTTGTGATGAGGGCAAGCCTAGAGTACATTTCAGCGACACCTTCACCATCCTTCATTTTGAACTTGTCAAGTTGACTTTGAAGCACATACTATTTGGATTCCTTGACGGAGTCGGTATCTTCATGCATATCAATCAAAGTATCCCAAATTTCCTTTGCATTCTCAAGACAGCTGATTTTGTTGAATTCTTCGGGGCATAATCCATTGAAGGGAATATCACAAGCTTGAGCATTGTATTGCAACATCTTCAACTCTTCTGCGGTAGCTTCACAGTTCGGTTCTCTCCCATCGAAGAATTCACCTTGCAAGCCAATACACACAATAGCCCAAACGGCGGGGTTATGTCCAAGAATATGCATTTTCATCTTATGCTTCCAACTAGCAAAATTTGTACCATCAAAGTAAGGACCTCGGTGGTAATTTCCCTTGCTAGACGTCATACTATCCTGGGTTGTGAAACCAAGGCTATGATCACCAAAAGCTATGGAAATCAAGGCAAATGGAGACTGTAGCTCTGATACCACTTGTAGGATCGAAATTATGTCTAGGGGGTGATTGGACTACTTGAGCAAATAAAAATCTAGCCTTTTCCCAAAATTAAGTCCTTCCATGACCCTTGCCTCCTGTACAGAGGAGGGAGATGAGTGGGGGAATGGTGGGCTAGGCCTTCCCGTTTGCTAGATGGGTCGTAGTGCCGGTATTAGGTCGTAGTGCCGGTATTAGGTCCTCTTCTTCCTCTTTATCTTTTTATCCTTTCTTTACATTTCTACCACTGTTTTCTATTTAGTTGCTATAGCAAATGAATTTAGTGTTGGGAACGTAGCATGCAATTTCAAAAAAAAAAATCTATGCTCATGCAAGATCTATCTAGGAGATGCATAGCAAGGAGAGGGGGAGAGTGTGTCCACGTACCCTCGTAGACCAAAAGCGGAAGCGTTTGCCAATGCGGTTGATGTAGTCGAACTTCTTCTTGTTCCAACCGATCAAGTACCAAACGTACGTCACCTTCGAGTTCTGCACACGTTCAACCCAATGACGTCCCTCGAACTCTTGATCCAGCAGAGTGTGGAGGAAGTAGAAGAGTTTCGTCAGCACGACGGCGTGGTGACGATGATGGTGAAGTTATCCGCGCAGTGCTTCGCCTAAGCACTACGTGAATATAACCGGAGGCGTAAACTGTGGAGGGGGCGCCACACACGACTAACAAACATTGGTGTGTGTTCTAGGCGCCCCCTCCCCACGTATATAAAGGAGGGAGGGGGAGAGAGGCAGCCTAGGGCGCACCCCTAGTCCAATTCGGCCTCCCCCTTTCCTTTTAGCGGAAAGGGGAAAAGGGAAGAGAGGGAGGAGGAAGGAAGGGGGCGAACCCCCTCCTCCTTCTCCTATTCAGCCTCCTTCCTTAGGGGGGCGCCACCCCTTGTGGGCCGGTGTGCTCCCCTCCTATGGCCCATAAGGCCCATTATTCCCCCAGGGGGTTCCGGTAACCTCCCGGTACTCCGATATGTACCCGATACACTCCGAACACTTCCGGTGCCCGAATACTATCATCCTATATATCAATCTTTACCTCTCGACCATTTCGAGACTCCTCGTCATGTCCGTGATCTCATCCGGGACTCCGAACAACATTCGGTCACCAAATCACATAACTCATATAATACAAAATCGTCATCCAACGTTAAGCGTGCGGACCCTACGGGTTCGAGAACTATATAGACATGACCGAGACACCTCTCCGGTTAACAACCAATATTGAAACCTGTATGCTCATATTGGTTCCCACATATTCTACAAAGATCTTTATCGGTCGAACCGTTATGACAACATACGCTATTCCCTTCGTCATCGGTATGTTACTTGCCCGAGATTCAATCGTCGGTATCTTCATACCTAGTTCAATCTCGTTACTGCAAGTCTCTTTACTCGTTTTGTAATACATCATCCTGCAACTAACTCATTAGTTAATTTGCTTGCAAGGCTTCTTATGATGTGCATTACCGAGAGGGCCCAAAGATACCTCTCCGATACTCGGAGTGACAAATCCTAATCTCGATCTATGCCAACCCAACAAACACCTTCAGAGATACCTGTAGAGCATCTTTATAATCACCCAGTTAAGTTGTGATGTTTGATAGCACACAAGTCATTCCTCCGGTATCCGTGAGTTGCATAATCTCATAGTTGGAGGGATATGTATTTGACATGAAGAAAGCAGTAGCAATAAAATTGAACGATCGCTATGCTAAGCTAACGGATGGGTCTTGTCCATCACATCATTCTCTTAATGATGTGATCCCGTTCATCAAATGACAACACATGTCTATGGTTAGGAAACTTAACCATCTTTGATTAATGAGCTAGTCTAGCAGAGGCTTACTAGGGACACGATGTTTTGTCTATGTATCCACACATGTATCAAGTTTCCGGTTAATACAATTATAGCATGAATAATAAACATTTATCATGAAACAAGGAAATATAAAATAACAACTTTATTATTGCCTTTAGGGCATATTTCCTTCATTTAGTTAAGCTTTTAATTTGGCACAAATTTCAAGCGCAATATTTTGGAGTGACACATATAGTTTTGAGTCATTTGGAAACTCATAAATATTTGTTTATTTTGAAAAGGTTACGTTTGTTGGAGTTGGACCACTTTATACTTTACTAGAGATTAATCGGAGAGCCGAATGATGTTGGATCCAACATGACAAATGATTAGAGAAAATTATACTATAATTCGAATATTTTAGTTTTATAGATTGAAGAAATAATAATTGTCTTGTTATTTGAATTTTGAATTCGAATGAGATTTGAATCATCATGAGATTAACAACAATAATCGTGGTGATGTGGTATCGTTAGTAGCGGTTATTGTAGCTTAATTACCCGGGCGTCACAAATGGGTGCACATCTTCGTGCGTTACTAGAGTTTAATACATTAGTTACCATGAGAAGGCCTGTAATGATTCATGTCAATCAAGTCTCTCTTTGTAACATAGCTAGCTCAAGGGGCGACACACTCTATATAATCCACCCCGTAGCACAGGAGGAGGGGTTCGCATCCGTTGCAATCATCAGACACAAGAGAAGAAAACACAACTCCCAGGGCTTGAGACGTAGGGTTATTACCTCCTCCGAGAGGGCCCGAACTCGTAAAATCCTTGTGTCACGCTTGCGCCGTTGCTTGATCTAGCCCTTGTTCGTACCCCTAGTACTCACTGTCAAAGTAATTCCCACGACAGGTGGAACCCTAGATGGCCAATCTTTTCACACTTGGAGGGGGAGAGGAATAAGAAGCAAGAACTCATACAGGAATCACTCAAACATGTCCAAATCACACATCCACAAAAATAGCACACATGAGATCCACAAGCATACAAGGACAAGTCAAGGAAAAAGCACTAGGTAGAATTCTTCACAATTCCAAAGGAGACGAAGTCTTGGAGGCAGATAGATCTTCCCTAGAGTATGGGCCTTGCATCCATGAGATGGATCTTCCCTTGAAGTGGTCTTGAATCCACCAAGGGATATTCTCCAATGGAGGTCTTGGTCTCCAGTGAGGTGGTAGACGAGCAAAGCTATCTAGATCTCAGTTCAATATACTTTGCTAACTCTATGGAAGAAGTAGGGGATGAATATTTATAGTCTAGGGAGAGAGGAGGGGGGATACATGGTTCAAAATCCTAGAAGCTGTCGCAGGCAGCGCCGGATGTCCGGTGGCTCCTAACGGACTGGAAGTTTGGTGGTTGGGGGCGTCTGGACGTTTGGTGGTCTTCAGACTTCTGGCAAAATTCACCGTTTGGGTACTGGACATGTGTGGCCGGATTATTAGTGAGCACCAGATGTCCGGTTGATTGTGGGCCGCCGGATGTTCGGTAGCTGTAGACTTGCATCTGGACTTGTTTCCCTAGGAGGCCCATCGCGCCGTATCGAATGTCCGGTGATGGACCGGACGTCCGGTGCCTGTAGCTTCTGTGTGATCGTTCCTCTTGGTCTTCTTGCTTTGGTTCGGCACCGCCTTGTCCAATGCTTCTAACTTCTTCATGGTTATCCTCTTGGAACCTAATCACCGAGGAGCGAGTTCACCTCATGTTCAATGGCACATGCATGAACTCTTGTCATAGGACCACCTGGCTCTTGAGGAGTTGGTGTAGTATTCATGGGGGATGACCGTAGGGTGCTCCGCACCAGGAGTTGCGCGAGGGCTCAACCAACGGCCACCACGTCGCCTTGCCGACTACCCCGAGCCACGACTAGGGTTAGTTATCCGGGGGCGTAGAGCAGCGACTAGAGTGGTGAATCGATAGAATGAGGCGAGGCAAAGGCCTGCCTAATGATGGTGGCATCGGAGACGACCATGCCAAGAGAAATGGGATGTGGTGGCAGTGACGATGACGACGTGTGGAAAGAGAGAGAGGGAGTCGGGAGAGCAAGAGAAGAAAGGGGGTCATGGAAGTTGTGCGGGAGAGGGGATGGATCAAGGCATAGTGATTGGGTTGTGCAAGTGAAAAGACGTCAATACCCCTCGACCGGCCACGGAATTGCATGGCGCTACCGCGGATTTCCTATGCGCGATCTAACCCATTCATCTCTTGATCTGATGGTCACCGCTGAGGCCTCCATCTCCGGCACGAATCGGCCAGCTTGAGGGGTCCAGTTGTTTGTAGACCGACCTGGAGGCTGGAGGACTCGAGCCTAGGGTTTTTTGGTTGGTCTGCCCACCGGCGCGCGTACGAAGTGATATACCCTCCTCCCCGCCGCCGCTTCCACGCCTAACTCTAGTGTCGCCGCCAGTGGTAGCGCTCTTCCCCTTCCAGCGGAAATCTCTTTGGACGGGGCGGCGTATACGGAGAGTCGCCGCAGATGGCGGACCGTTTGACCCGTATCGCGATCGTGAGCGAGGACAAGTGCAAGCCGAAGAAGTGCCGCCAGGAGTGCAAGAAGAGCTGCCCCGTTGTCAAGACCGGTAATTCACCTCTCTCTCCACACTCGTGGGTCTGATCGATGTGGGCTTACGATTTGTCTGCCGGTGCTATTGGCGAATCAAAGCGTAGATCCCAGTGGTTTCCCATTTCCACGGGGCAATCTGTTTATATGATGATTTTGATTTCAAGCCGACTGATGTGTGCCTTGTACTAGCAGGATCTGGGGAATTGGATCGCTTAACATGGTCACGTTTTTGTTTTGGCAGCTGTAGTATGTTGCTACGAACTTGCTTAAGCGTTGTTACGTGCTTAAGATTTGATTCAGTTTCTCATACATGTTGCCATCTGTTTGTTATTGTAGTCTATGAACAAGGATCAGTGTCCACATATATGCGCACATTTATAGCGCTTATTGTGGCTGCACCAATTCTCCATTTCCCCTTTTGGTGCTTACAGTGCGTTTGGTTGAGGGGGTTTAGTGTTAGGGAATGAGCGTTTTGGGGGTATGAAACATATAATCCATTGTTTGGCCGGTAGCAAGGGAGTTGAGGAGGAAAGGGGGAATGGGAATTAAGGAGCCCAATTCCCAAAATTCGAACTAAATCTCACCTCACACCAAACATGGGTTTTAGATTAATAATCAATTTCCCAAGCCTAATTCCCCAACAAACTCCCACATCTAAACTCCCATCCCCTTTCCCTAACATTGCCAAGCACGTTGATGTGTTATGCATGCTAGAGGGTTTCCTAGCTAAAGTGCTGCTGTGGTTATGACAAGTAACTGTCTTATTGTACAGGTAAGCTTTGCATTGAAGTTAGTCCAGCGGCCAAACTTGCATTCATTTCTGAAGAGCTGTGTATTGGTTGTGGTATTTGTGTTAAGGTATGCTTGTCATTTAATACAGCAATTAAGATGTATGATTTTTCATAGTGTTACTATAATCTTCTCACTTCTGCTGTAATACTTGATGCAGAAATGCCCATTTGATGCCATTGAAATCATCAATCTTCCAAAAGATTTGGAGAAAGATACTACCCATCGCTATGGACCGAATACCTTCAAATTGCACAGGTACTTTTTTAATCAAAGAGTCTGGCGCTGCGTTTGGATGTCTGTATTAAAGGCCTCCGTATTGAATTGGTTTCAATACCAATTCAGTGGGGAAACTGTAATGGACATGAATACGATTTCGCTTGTTTGGATGCTCATGGAATCCCAGTGAGGTTTCAATACCAAATCTTGTTTGGATGGCAAACTATGGAATTGCATAGTGCCTTGTTCTATATGTATCAAATCAAAATTTGTACAATATGTGACTATAATTTCCACACATAATTATAGTTCCACACATAATTAAGAATCATAAGTTCCACACAAAATTAAGAATCAATCCACCCGTCAAAGCAGAATCACAAGTTCCACACATAATATCGAAATTTGTACAATATGTCTCTTATGAAAAGCAACCAGCCAAAGCAGAGCCATAAGTTCCACACATAATTGAAAATCAATCCACCCATCAAAAATTAACAATTGATCCTTTTGTTACTAATCTCATCTAGCAATACGGCGAAGAGAAACTAAATTTGGTCTGACTGGATGATTATATGAAACAAACAAAATTTCCTGCAGTGTCATAAGAGAGCAAGCACCATGAAATCTGTTCCTGCAGTTGACACTTGACAGTACATGGCTGGCTAATGTGCATTCGACCACCAACTGATGAACTACTGAATTAGTAACGACTGAAGAGATTGCCGGATTGAAAGGACGTGAGCAATATGGCAATATTTTGGCAACTCGTAACCAGCAGCAAAGAAGAAACAAACAAGGGATGGAACCGTGAGAGATTGGATGGTTACCAATGCGTGCAGGTGGAGATGGAGGCGGTGACGGCGGGATCGGCATCGCGGCGGCGGCGCCCATGGCTTGTTAGTCCTGACGAATGGCCACTGCAACTCCACGACGAGATCCAAGCCGAAGGGGGAGATGAGGCATCCGTTGGAGGAGGGGGATGAGCTGAGGTGGCGGGGATTCAGGTGCCGGAGGGCCGGCGAGGACTGGCCACCGCCGTCGGGTGCCTTCCTCGTCGGCAAGGACTGGCCACCGCCGTCGGTGGGCCGCTGTTTCCTTGGTCAAGCGAGGGAAGAAAGAAAGATTGAATCGTTATGTTTTGCGGGATGGACGATTTCCAGCCAAATCGGAGGGGTTGAGCTCGGAAACGTTGGGAGGGCTCAGCGCGTGTAAGCGATTTCGGTGCTGTATTTGTTTTATTTCAGACTGCTGTTTCCATGTGCATGCCAAACAGCTGAATTGGAAATTTGGGAATACCAAATCCAATTCGGGGCCTCATTACAGATATCCAAACGCAGCGTGGTTGTATGAATGTGTATTTTTTTGGTATTTGTGTGTTATTTAATCTGGGTTGAGGCTGCCCTTTCGAAGAAGTAATAATTTGGAGCTTGCAGGTTGCCTGTTCCAAGACCTGGTCAAGTTTTGGGTCTTGTTGGAACCAATGGAATTGGGAAGTCAACAGCACTTAAAGTCTTAGCTGGCAAGCTGAAGCCCAATCTGGGACGATTCAAAGTATGTTCAGTATCTCTTCTCTGATTCCTATCTGATGGTTGGTTTCAACTGGTTTCTTAGATTGGGGGAGTCCCTTAACTCCCTGCACAACAGATGGTTTCATAGATCTTCTCTTGCAGAATCCACCTGACTGGCAAGAGATCCTTACATATTTCCGTGGGTCTGAACTTCAGAACTATTTTACGCGCATATTGGAGGATAACCTGAAGGTTCTACTTTTTTACTTATTGTGCTTGTAATTCATGCAGGGCTTGTTAATACGTGTTTTCAACAAGCTCTTGATATCCAGCTTATAATCACTTTCCACGTGTGCTAAGATTTTTTTTGTAATGCATCTGAATAGTTTGACTATATACATATAGATAGTCTGAGATTATTCAAGTCTTGGGGCTGTCACCATAATGTAGTTACTGACATACCAAATACTCCTTCTGTCCGAGTTTATTGGTCTGGATGCCCAGTTCTCTAGGACCAAGGGACTCAGCCGTCTTAATTGCATAGTCCTTTGATCTCTCCCCCAAGCCTGCATGCGGTCGCTCTCCTGCTTGCATGCCCCAGTCAATAGCATGCATGCAGCAGCAGCAGCCTATTTCTCTCCCCTAGCCTGCATGTGTATGCATGTCCAATCATCTCATGGGACTAGCAACAGATCTCCAGAGAAACACAGCGCTGTAAAAGCAAATGGCCTAACAAATATGGACGCCGTATGGTGCGCCGGCCCTTCAATCCTGGACGGAGGAAGTACCTAGTACTCAGACATTTTTGAATAGGCTGTTCCAGTGTATGATTTTGCATCTGTCTTATGCTGTTGAACGCTTTTGATACTGTGCATTCTGTCTCTACTCCCCATATTCTATAGGCAATCATCAAGCCGCAGTATGTTGACCATATTCCAAAAGCTGTTCAAGGAAATGTAGGGCAAGTACTTGAGCAGAAAGATGAGCGGGATATGAAAAATGAGCTGTGCGTTGATCTTGAATTGAACCAAGTTATTGACAGAAATGTAGGAGATCTGTCTGGTGGCGAGCTTCAGAGATTTGCAATAGCAGTTGTTGCTGTACAAAGTGCGGAAATTTACATGTTTGATGAGCCATCAAGTTATTTGGACGTTAAACAGAGGCTTAAGGCTGCCCGAGTCATTAGGTCTTTGCTTAGATCAAACAGGTAATGCATCATTTGTTAACCTAATTATCTTTTGGATCTTTTGACTAAAAGCTTCAAGAAATTTATTATCAAGTGTTCTCTGATTTGTTTTCAGCTATGTCATCGTTGTCGAACATGACTTGAGTGTCTTAGATTACTTGTCCGACTTTATTTGCTGCTTATATGGGAAGCCAGGTGCTTACGGTGTAGTTACGTTACCATTTTCGGTCCGAGAAGGTATCAATATTTTCCTGGCTGGATTTGTTCCAACAGAAAACCTTCGGTTTCGAGATGAATCTCTTACATTTAAGGTAACATTGGCTCATAGGATTTGAAATACTTGTTCAGTTATGAAACCTATGTCTTATGTTAGTATGGTCCTGTTAGATTGCGGAGACCCAGGAAAACGCAGAGGAAGTTGCTACGTACCAGCGGTACAAGTACCCTACCATGAGCAAAACACAGGGAAATTTCAAGCTCTCTGTCGTTGAGGGTGAATTCACTGATTCTCAGATTGTTGTGATGCTTGGTGAGAACGGCACAGGGAAAACTACATTCATCAGAATGCTGGTACATCTTTCTCTCTCTCCCCTCCCTCCGCCCTACTTCCCTCTCACCTTATTCTTATCTTGCAAACCTTGTAAGTAGTGCTAGTATTTGAAATGGTATGAGAACCTTTGGCTCTTTAGTTTCTTACCATTACGGACACTGTGAGCTTGACACTAAAAAAAGGGCAGCCCGGTGCACGTAGCTCCCGCTTGTGCAGGGTGACACTATATAGAAAAAATCACGACTATCCATTTCAAGGTTGAAAATTCAGCAAGTGCAGAATATGTCTAGTTTTTCCTTTGCCACTATTAAAACTTGTGTTAACTCCCTAGTAGTGTGGTACTCTGAAAGTCAACTAAGTACTACTGAATCAAGATTCCTATTGGATATTGTTAACACAATTTAGTTTGGTGGTGCTTCAAACCCAATGTATACAATTTAGTATGTTGCAGTTCTCAAGGGGCGCAGTATTTTGCCTACCCCAACTTGTTTGGGACTAAGGCTTTGTTGTTTCTGTTTGAAAATGTTCATCTTAGATGAATGCAGTTTACTCTTCTTCTCTATAAAGTGGGGTGCAACATTTAATCTATTGATATCGGCTATCTAAAGGTGTGAATTTTACCTTAGAAACCAAGGATACCTTTTCTTTCTGATGGTACTGTATTGTATACCTATGATTTTATAAGAACTTTACTGTTACATGGCTCAAATCATGTGAAGCTCATCTGGCTAAAACAGTACAGAATGTAATTTTTCTGAATTGATGAAGCAGTTGCATCATACTTTCTTGTTGTGACTGGACAGGCCGGGTTGTTGAAGCCAGATACCATGGAAGGAACTGAGGTTGAAATTCCTGAATTCAATGTGTCCTACAAGCCTCAAAAGATCAGCCCAAAATTCCAGCATCCAGTGAGGCACTTGCTTCATTCGAAAATACGCGATTCATATACTCATCCTCAGTTTGTATCTGATGTTATGAAACCACTACAAATTGAGCAACTCATGGACCAGGAAGTTATTAATTTATCAGGTGGAGAGCTCCAGAGAGTAGCATTATGTTTGTGCCTTGGAAAGGTATTTTCTTCTTCCACTTCGAACTTTATACGGGATAAGGCAATTCTTTTTTGCATCATATGGTTTTGAACTTCTGAAGGCTTCTCATCTTGTATTGTTTTTAAATGTTCAATATACTAAATGTATATTTTCCATTTGGTTTTTTAAGACTCCTTTCTCGCTCTGCTTTTATGGTTGAGTAAGATTTTGGATATTGTATTAAGCACAAAGATAATATATGGTCCATAATCTATTTGTGATGCTTCACCCTGCTATAGTGTGATTTTTAGCATGTCTAAGTATCAACACAGTCCTTGGCTCATGTGTGAAAATGTATTCCTTCCACCCCATAATATAATCCGCGTTGGTTTTACCAAAAGTCAAGCTTCACAAACTTTGACGATGTTTATAAGGAAAACCATCTATATCTACAGTATCAAATGTATACCATATGAAAATATACTTCATGATGAATCCAATGGTGTTGAATTGGCATTCTAGATGTTGATAAATTTCAATTTTTCTATAAACTTGGTCAAGGTTTACAAGATTTGACTTGGAAAAATCTGATATGTACTATATTTTGGGACGGAGGGAGTAATATTTAATTGGGCCAAGGACATACGTCCCGTCAGCTTATTGATGCCAACTTTGTGGTTGTTCAGCCTGCAGATATTTATTTAATTGATGAGCCAAGTGCATATCTTGATTCAGAGCAGCGTATTGTTGCCTCGAAGGTTATCAAAAGATTCATCCTTCATGCAAAGAAAACTGCATTTATTGTGGAGCATGATTTCATCATGGCAACCTACTTAGCGGACAAGGTTATTGTTTATGAGGGACTTGCTTCTATTGACTGTACTGCCAATGCACCACAGTCTTTGGTATCTGGGATGAATAAATTCTTATCGGTAAGTGCAGGGTAATAAATATTTACAAGAGGGAGTACAGTACTTCCTCCCGCTCTTATATTTCTTTACAGGGGGAGTACTATACTTCCTCCGTCTCGGTTTATTAGCCCTCATCGTATTTTGGGTCAACCTTTGACCATAGGTTTGACTGCAAAATAGAAATGATATGCCACAACAATTATGTTGTTGGATTCCTAGTGGAAACTAGTCGGTTTGTGTACCTCGCTGGTAGATTTTGTGTTGGTTTTCATATTTTGCATAAAATTGTACATGTCTAACCTCCTATTCAGTCATGGAAGTTTACATTCACATCTTCTCTTGTCTTTATCAACATGTATGCGTAACAAATAAATATGCAGGTGTTAGGTAGTTTCTGGAGGCCATTATTTGGTTTTTAATATATTGTATCATGGCTACCTCTATAAGCTTATATAGAGCCACAAAAATGTATAGAAAACAGCAGCAAACTGATCGAAATTTATGTTCACCTACTCCATATCATAGACTTCCATGTACAGCAACACATAAATGTGTGCTGCAGCATTTAAGCATATTTGTGCACATCAAGGCTAAACTCGTAAAAATGATGGCACAATCTCAAACAGAGTTTACAAACTATACTATTACCTAAACGCTTTGTAGGAGCAACAAATAATGCAGCCCATAGGAAAAATGCTCGTAATTCTGAAAGTGTTCCAGAACTGAAACCCACCAAGTGCCACATCTTGACCTGCGATTGGATATGATGTATACATATACACATGGATCACATAATTTTGTTGACAATGAAAATAGTGATAGTTGAATGCGCATCACAACTTGTGGTAGTTGAATGTGTTAAGTATATATGTTGTGTTTGTCTTGTACAGGCCCAGGCCCATAGTCTAGAGTGAGGCCCAGGCCCATGTAACCTTGTATATCTCTTTCTACTCCTCAATACAGAAAACTGTTCGGTCATTCTCTCTTCCTCACGTTTCCTAACATGGTATCAGAGCAGGACCAAACCCTAATCCCTCTTCCAGCCGCCACCCATGAAATCGCCGCCGGTGAGGTGATTCAGGCGGATCTGTCTGGTGAGGAGACATCCACATCGCTGCCCCATCCCATCTTCGTCATCAACCTGTAGGAGCTGCTCTCCAGCAGCTCCTCTGTGTGTCCTCACAGCTACTCTGTGAGAATACTTCCCCTGCTCTCCAACAGCCATCTCCAGCAAGCTCTTGGTGCCTTCCCTGCTCTACAGCAAGCTCCAGGTGTTCCCCCTTCTATCCAGCAAGATCCAGCAAGCTCCTCCTTCTACCCAGTGAGATCCAGCAAGCTCCAGGCGCCTCCCCTGCTCTCCAGCAAGCAGTCCAGCAGCCAGCCTAGTGGGTTGCTGCTCCTGTTTGTGGCTGTCTGCTGCTCATCTCTTGTTGCTGCCTGCAGCTGCTATCAGATTGGATGTTTCCAGCTGCTGGCCGCTCACCACTATGGCGAGAAATGATTTCGGATTTGGTTCTTTGATCATAGATATCAAGCTTGATGGTTTAAACTACAGGGAATAGGCATTTTTTGCCCGGACTGTCTTGAGGACGGCTGGTTTGGTTTCTCATCTGACAGATGATCCACCTAGTCCAAATGATGGTGCAGCAAGGAAGTCTTGGCAAAGGATCGATGAGCGTGTGATGGGAGTTTTAATTCTGGGTGTTGAACCCTCACTCCGAATGAGTCTTGAGCATCACACTTCAGCTAAAGAGACATGGAAGTACTTTGAGCAGCGCTACCTTCAGCCCAGCAGTGCACTTCATTTCTCCTTGTTTCAGAATTTACACAACACTCAGCAGCCAGAAGACATGTCCATAGAAGAGTACTATGGAGCTTTCACTCGCATCACTGGGCAGCTAGGTTCCATGGTTCCAAAGGGTAATTCTGGTTGTGAGTCATGTGCAGTGAAGGAAAAGTATGACCATCAGACTCTCATGTTTCAGTTTGTGATGGGTCTCAAGCCAGACTTTGAGAACATTCGTACTCAATTGCTTGGTCGTACGACTCCTCCCACCTTGACAGAGGCACTTGCTAGCTTGATCGCTGAGGAGACTCGTCTCCGTTCTCTTGGGACTACTTCTGCGCAGACTCTACACACTAGTGTTCTGGCTTTTCCTCAGCGGCCAGGTGCCTCCAAGGCCACACCTTCAGCTGTCGTCTGCTCGTTCTGCAAGAAGGCAGGACACCACAGAGATGGTTGTTTCAAGCTTCATCCAGAGCTGTTAGCTGAGTTTCAGGCTAGACGGGCCCTCAATCAGCAGCGTCGTGCACCCCAGGCTCCTTATCAGCAGCAAGCGAGGGGTGCTTTTGCATCTGTTCTCTCTCAGCCCGCTGTTGCTGCAACCCAGCCTTGGGTTCTGGACTCTGGAGCTTCTTTCCATGTGACCTCTGATCGCTCTCAGCTTGTGTCTTGCCATCCAGTGCGGGATGGTGCCTCTGTTCAGACTGCTGATGGTACACCTTGTTCTATTACTCATCAGGGTTCTCTTTGCACATCCAAGTTTTCTGTTCCTGCCATCTCCTTTGCTCCAGAGCTGTCCATGAATCTTATGTCTGTTGGCCAGCTTGCTGATATGAACTACTTTGTTGGTTTTGATGACTCATTTTGTTATGTGCAGGACCGTCAGAGCAAGAGGGTCATTGGAACTGGCCATCGCCGTAGAGGATCCACATCCCTCTACATCCTTGACACCTTACACCTTCCTTCAGCTTCCACCACATCCGCGTTCCGGATGGTTGCATCAACATCAAGATCCACTTCGTCGTTTTCTTTTGCCCAGTGGCACCATCGCTTAGGTCACTTGTGTGGTTCTCGTTTATCTACCCTTGTTCGACAAGGTGTTTTGGGTCATGTTTCCATAGATGCTGGTTTTCACTGTAAGGGTTGTAAGCTAGGGAAACAAATACAACTTCCATACTCTTCCAGCACTACTCATTCTAGTCATCCTTTTGATTTAGTGCACTCTGATGTATGGGGTCCTTCCCCCTTTGTTTCGAAAGGTGGCCACAAACATTATGTCATATTTGTTGATGATCACTCTCGACATACTTGGGTCTATTTTATGAGGCATCTTTCTGAGTTGTTTTCTATATATAATAAGGCTTTTGTACATACGGTCCATACTCAGTTTTCCAGTGCTGTTCGTGTTTTTCGTTCCGACTCTGGGGGGGAGTATCTATCTACTGCTTTTCGCGAGTTTCTCTCATCTGAGGGTACTCTCCCTCAGCTTTCATGCCCCGGTGCCCATGCTCAGAATGGCGTTGCTGAGCGTAAGCATCGCCATATTGTTGAGACAGCTCGTACCCTTCTGATTTCTTCCTTTGTCCCCACTCATTTTTGGGGTGAAGCTATCTCAACTGCTGTTTATCTTATCAATCTCCAACCTTCTACTCGCCTTGAGGGCAAGTGTCCTGGTGAGGTTTTGTTTGGTTCTCCTCCCACGTATGACCACCTCCGTGTCTTTGGTTGTACTTGTTATGTTCTTTTAGCACCTCGTGAGCGTACCAAGTTGACTGCTCAGTCTGCTGAGTTTTCCTTCCTTGGATATAGTCTTGAACATAAGGGCTACCGTTGCTATGATTCTTCTGCTCGCCGCATTCGCTTTTCTCGCGATGTCACTTTTGTTGAGGATCAACCCTTCAATTCCCCTTCCACTAAACCATCATCCTCAACTTCTTTAGAGTCTACCTCGTTTCTTTCACTTCCACCTATCTTTTTAGATGAGTCCATAGCTGAACAACCTTCCTCCGTCCTAACATCAGAACCATCTCCACCACATGTTTCATCTCCTTCCTCACCAGCTCCTTTCTCTCTTCCACTAGCTCCACCTCTAGATAGTCTTCCTTTCCATTACACTCGTCGTTATTCTACTCCTCCAGCCAGTACTTTCCATTACACTCGTCGTTCTAAAGTTTCATGTGACACGCAGTCATCTATGCCTTTGTCTTCTACTCCTCCAGCCAGTACTACTGATCCTTGCACTGACGGCTCTTCTCTAGCAACGCGATACAAGAAGGACTTATATGCAGGGGTTGTTTCTGAGCCTAGTACCTATCAGGAGGCAGTTGTGTCACCTGAGTGGCAACTGGCTATGTCTGAGGAGCTTGCAGCCTTAGAGCGTACTAGTACATGGGATTTGGTACCATTACCTCCTCGTTCAGTCCCTATCACTTGCAAATGGGTGTATAAGGTTAAAACCAAGTCAAATGGTTCTGTGGAACGCTACAAGGCCCGCCTTGTTGCAAGAGGTTTTCAGCAGTCTCATGGGAAAGATTATGATGAGTTGTTTGCTCCTGTTGCTCACATGACTTCAGTTCGAACTCTAATTGCTGTGGCTGCTACTCGGTCATGGAAAATTTCCCACATGGATGTGAAGAATGCCTTCCTTCATGGTGATTTACATGAGGAAGTTTATATGCAGCCACCTCCAGGTATCAAGGTTCCATCAGGTCATGTTTGTCGTCTTCGAAAGGCTCTTTATGGGCTTAAGCAGGCCCCTCGTGCCTGGTTTGAGTGGTTCAGTTCTGTGATTCAAGCTGCCGGTTTTTCTCCTAGTGAACATGACCCTGCACTCTTCATTCATACATCTGAGCATGGCCGTACATTGCTTCTACTTTATGTAGATGACATGTTGATCACTGGAGATGATGTTGGGTATATTGATTTTGTTAAGAAAAAATTGAGTGAACAATTCAAGATGTCAGATTTGGGGTCTCTCGGCTATTTTTTCGGGATTGAGGTCGAGCACACCGATGATGGTTACTATATCTCCCAGCAAAAGTACACTCAGGATTTGATTCTTCGCTCAGGTCTCACTGACGCGCGCATTGCTGCTACACCTATGGAGCTTCATCTGCAGTTGTGTCCTACTGATGGTACTCCTCTTGAGGATCTCTCTCGCTATCGTCACATTGTCGGCAGTCTAGTGTACCTCACAGTGACCAGACCTGACATCGCACATGCAGTCCATATTCTCTGTCAATTTGTCTGTGCTCCCACCTCAGTTCATCATGGTCACCTATTCCGAGTCCTTAGGTATTTAAGGGGAACTACATCTCGCCACTTGTTCTATGCTAATTCTAGTCAGCTCCAGCTTCATCCTTACTTTGATTCCACTTTGGCGAGTGATCCTATTGATCGTCGCTCGGTCACTGGCTATTGCATATTTCTTGGTACATCTCTCATTGCATGGAAATCAAAGAAGCAAACTGCTGTGTCTCGCTCCAGCGCCGAGGCAGAGCTTAGGGCTCTCTCTACTACAACATAGATTGTATGGCTTCGCTGACTATTGGATGATCTTGGTGTCTTATGTCATACACCAACACCTCTTCTTTGTGACAGCACTGCTGCTATTCAGATTGCTAATGATCCAGTCAAGCATGAGTTGACCAAACACATTGGTGTGGATGCCTTATTCACTCGATCTCATTGTCAACAATCCACTGTCAAGCTACAATATATCCCATCAGAGCTTCAAGTTGCGGATTTCTTCACCAAGGCACAAACTAGAGATCAGCATAGGTTTCACACTCTCAAACTTGGTGTATCAGATGCTCCTGACCCACCTTAAGTTTGAGGGTGGTGGTGGTGGTGGTGGTGTTAAGTATATATGTTGTGTTTGTCTTGTACAGGCCCAGGCCCATAGTCTAGAGTGAGGCCCAGGCCCATGTAACCTTGTATATCTCTCTCTCTCTCTTCAATACAGAAAACTCAACTTGTGTTCGATCCAGATCGCAAGGAGGCGGCGGCACATGGAAAAATGACTTCTTTGATCCAAACCTATATTGATTATCTTCTCCGCCACCATATTAAATCATCAACTAGGAGAACATTTTAGCAGCATTCCAATTACATTGGCATCAAAATCTTATAACTCAATAATTACACTTAACAGAAATCAAGAATAAATGCCATGATTTCACCTGTTGTGTTTCATTTTGCATAGTCATAGAAGAAACTCAACAATGAACATTGTCGGTCGTTTGTACTAAATTAAACATCATACAATAGCAAATTCCCCATTCACATCACCAATTTCCCCTTCAGAATTCAGAACCTAAGGATAGCATGTCCCTGATTTAAAAGAAACAAGTGTGACTAAATCAGAAAGAGCACACTACAAAGTAAATAGTCATGATGGGAATGGGCCGATGTTACCCATTGGGACATTGGTCCGGCCCTGCCCATAACAAAGCCGATGGGTCTTGTGGGCCGGCTTCATAAGAAAATGGGGCCAGGGGAGCCGTTCATCACCGGTCCACCGGGACAAGCGGGTCGACCTTACTTTAGTTGCCCAAGGCTGTAGTCTGCCGTTATGATGCACATGCCTTTGTTAGGTTGTTACCCTTGTGCTTATATGGAAATTTCAAACTAATGACCCAAGACCGCTTTTGTTTCAGAGTTACAAAATGCTACCTTATGGTGCAAACAGTTCGTGGTAGAAATAGTAACGAAGATGCATATATTCTTTTTTTCATTGAACAAATAAATTCTAAATATCTTAACTTACTAAAAATTTCCACAGCTAAATGATGCTAGCTGAAACAAGTTGTTGTGTAAATGCTCTTTGCTTTCGTACAATCTACTATAAAAATGGGACAGACCATGTTGTCAAATGGGACATGAGGCAACTTGGTATTGGACCATTGGGCCGGCTCTATGTCCCTGAACAGAATAGAGGGGCCCGCAGGGACCAGGTCTGGGCCGGAGCGGGCTGGCCTATTCCCATCCTGATTAAATAGTATAACTAACTTTGAACCATGTGCATATCTAATTGTGCTATATAAAACTGAAAAAGATAGAATAGGTACAATCCAGGGAAATCCATTCTCACCTATGAGAGTTCTTACCGTGTTTTCTTTTATCGTCCGTAGCTGAAGGGGCATCAGACAATCTCTTGGCAAATTTACATGGCCTAACAACAACTCCGACATGAGAAAAACAACCACCACAAGATCCCTCAAAATTGCCCATTATTGAACTACATGATTCTTGCTACAATGTCCAAACCAACATCAGACCTTGCGTTAACTTAGAAGGTAGTGATTATAAAATGTACATTGTGAGCCATGATCTATGTTATATTACTTCACATAAGGAGAAATATTCCAAGGGAAATTTAACATTTGCTCAGTTTATAGTGCACATGCTTAGTATGGACTACATGTTTAAAAGAACTGTGGATGTACACGTATTATCATGATTGACCCTATCACATTAAAGAATGGCTAGATGAACGGTCAGCATGTGCCGTCAATGGAGCCATGAATCAACAGACAATAAATTTGACAAATTGCAATGAGATGTGCGAAGAACTATTCATGGCAGAGTATTATTGCCCGAATCATGATATGAGAAAGTCAGTTTTATATAGACTAATATGATATATTCCATGTCTATATATCCTTTTACAGCTTTGTAGCATCAATAACCGATCATCCAAATACGCCATACACGACACCACTGCAAGGCGTTATATCCTCAAATTTACAGGGTCGTCAACTAACTCAGCTGAAACCACAAATATCTCAGATAATGCTTCTGTGGATAACATGCCTTTACCTGAAGATTCCCTGGTTAGAGCAAACAGACAATGAAACCACAAAAATCCCATCGATTTCAAAACTTCCTGAAGTGACTGTGAAGAGAAACATAAAAGAAAATGAAAAAGCAAAACAAATAGGTACTGAGATGTTTTGTGCGCGCGGAAAAAACAAAGAGGTATCCTTGCAAGCCCTGTTTTCGAGTCGACGACTAGTCGATGAGTCATAACTGGAAGTCGACTCAAACACCTCGACTAGTTGGGACTAGTCGATCGGCACGGCACGACTCGTCGACTCGAAAACCTTGCTTGGAAGATATAAGTCTTTCCATGAAAATAACAAGAAGAATAACATAGGCTTGCACTAATAGTTACTAGTGTACATGTACGTGCAAATGCACGCATTGGCTTACCTCGCCTGATTGGTGCATTGCACAACAGCCAGCTCAAAACTCCGTCCCAAATCCCTCTGGGATGACGCGATTAGTACGCGCGCTACCGATGCTTATGGACCGGCTGCCAAGGCGGCTGAGGCAGCCAGCTACATGCACGGATGGACGACAACAGTAGCAAACATGTGGATTTTTCCAGCATTGATATTTGTGGATGGTTCTAGAGAACAACAGTAGCTTGGCAGGTACTGATTATCTGTGGATGGTTCCGGAGAACAACAGTAGCTTTGCTGGTACCGTAGCTAGAACTGTAGCAGCGAATCCGAGCATTTCCAACCATTGGATGGACCCTATCAATGGTTTAGGTTGCTTCCTGGTCATAAGATTTAAAATTTCAAAACTGGTACACTATATATATTCCAAAATGTTTCTCCAAAATCAGCTAAATAGTGGCTTCTATTCGGCTGTGCACTCCATTTCTGTTTTTTCTTGCTCTCAAAATGTAACTTCGGGGCTTTGGAGAAACCTACAGACCTAAGAAGAAACATGAAAATTATGCATTAGTCTTTTGCATGAAATGCTAAATTACAGCAGCAGACAAACGTATAAAGCAATGGGAATTGAAGGAACCCAAAACTGTAAAAAATCTTGTCATTAAAATCATGCAATAAATGGGTTAGATGAGACCATCATTCACCTGTAATTTGTTCTCAGTTAATGTTTCTCTATGGCTATATTGTGTCATTTCCAGAAAACTATTTGATGCAAGTATCCGAAAGCTAGCATAGGATGAACACAGATTCATAGAATGTTGGTATATACTATATAACAATGAAAAGATTTGTGAACACATCTCACTAATGGACTTACCAGTTGGAATTGACTGGCAATCTTTGGTCAGTATGACAAGGTTCAGCTCTACTACTGTTTCCCATTTATTTCCCTAGCTCACTATGAAACTTTTGTGCCTTTTATCATCACTCAAGTAGCAGATTTTCATTTCTTGGTTTCAACACGTTCTTTTGTACACTACCATGACCCATAGGAGGAAAATTGCATGTACAGAAGATGCTCTAATGCCGCACTTGACTTTTGTGCACCAGGTTAATTACCACATAAGTGAAAATACTCTAGCTGATCTTCTAACTTTCTTGGTGCAGTACATGAGTCACCTCTATATTCCTTAACCTGCGCTAAGTTGCCATGACCATTAACCATGGAATACGTGTACTGATTCGCGTAATTTTATTTGCATGGTGGTACTACTTGATATTCTGCCAATAGCCGTCAATACTTGTTAGCTAACAAAAACTGCGGCAGCGAGCCACAAACTTCATCTATCTGCCAAACTGTCCACATATGGTTTTCACTTCAATTAGAAGCCAATCTCTGCAAATAAGAAAAAAAATGCTAGGTAGAGATCTTTCAAAGAATGAGAAAGTAATGATACCTTTTTGTTGTCTGACCGAAATAAGCACCGGTGAAACTGACCTGCTGCCAAGGGTTGTGCATGTCCGTCCTGGTGGCTATTGCTGCATGATGAGTTCTTGGCCGCGTTTTGGCCACCGCTGGGTTGGTGTGCCCTGTGTCGATTCGTGCGGTGGTAAGCGCTGATGCCGAGCAGCCTGCAAGACGATGCCGAGGCCTTGACCGGGTAGACAGGTGTCAGGAGGCTCTGCTTCCACCTTATCTCCACGATGGCCGGTGTGGCTCCAATGGAGAAACAGCGCGAGAAAACAGCAACAGATGGTGCGACCGTACGGATCTTGCGAACTGTGGAGCTCTGTCCATCGAGGACAGGGACAACGACCAGAGTGGTGATTGGCGATCGGTCTCCTGGATGGCTAGACAGCCGGTGGACACGGCTTCAGCGGGTGATCAGGTGCTAGGATGGAGAGGCAGCACAACGGTGCGTGGTGACTTGGCCCCTGACTGTGTGTGCATGGATGATGGCTGGATAAGGGGCTCATGTACAACGCCACAACTAAATTTCGCACCCAATTCACGCACAGATCAACAACAGTAGGTGTGGAGGATAACGGCGGAAGTTGTGAATGATGGCCGGATGGTAATTGAGCGATGGGGAGGAGGGCTTTTATAGGCCTTACGGTGCATGAGCGGCGACACAACGTTGATGTTGTGGTGGGCGGCGGTGTTTGATGGGTCTCTTGTAGAGAGCTCTCGACATGCCGTGAACCGAGCTACTCCCTCTTTCCATCTATATAGGGCCTAATACGTTTTCCAAGACCGCCTTTGACTATTGGCAAGATTAATAGTACATGAGATTTATAATTTAAAAATTATATCATTGGAAGCTCCTTTCGCATACGAATTTGACGGCATGCTTTGTCTAAGTTGCATGTCATATATTATTGCTCTAACATTTGGTCAAAGTTAGCCTCGAAAAACGCATTAGGCCCTATATAGATGGAAGGAGGGAGTATAAATAATTAAATATCTGATTCATTGGCGGTTGATTGCTCGTAGAAAAACCTACCTAGAAATTGTACCCTCTCTACTGCCCAGAATTACATGTATCTCTTCTATATAAATTAGGAAGAGACTGGAAAAAACTCAAAAAAAGGAGAAAAAGGATTCCTACAGGATGTAGGGTCTTATTACTTACAAGTTTCTAATGATAGTATTTTTGCTACATAAAAAAAGGAGAAAAAGGGATTCCTATGGGATGTAGGCGGAGTATTTTATTATTTAAATATATGGTCAACATTTGAAATAAAATACTTGTGGGATAATAAACCAGAATGCAGGAAGTAGTAATCGAATCTTCCATCTCTGGTTGAGTTGTACGCATGCAGCTTTCTGTAAGATTAACTTTCAGTAGGATTCTCCAATTCTAGATTTGCATATGGAAACATTAAAATAGTTTTTTCTTTACAGACTCTTTGTTTTGGGGTGCTAATTTCCCTTTTGTTTTTGTTGTTGTTTTCTGATAGCATCTTGACATTACATTTAGAAGAGACCCGACCAACTATAGGCCACGAATCAACAAACTCGAATCAACGAAGGACAGAGAACAAAAGAATGCAGGGTCCTACTACTACCTAGATGACTAATGAGAGGGGCCAGCGCAGGTTGCTACAATTTGGTATTGGTTAATGGCTCCACGTATCCTGTTCTTGATTGTTTAGTGAGTTTGTTTCTTTTTGGGCTCCTTTGTAGATTCTTGTTGGACGTCAATAATGTTCCGAATCCTTTCTGGATCATGCGCAAGGCTAACGAGAAGTTGCCATGACGTGCGTCCATGAGACATGCGAATTGGCCACAGGAGTGAAGCGCATCGAGTGTGGTGCTTGGGTTTCAAAGAAGCGCATGTGTTGAAACTGTACTTTTTGTTGGTTTGAGCTGTGGGGAGAACGATTATCAATTTTCTTGTATTTGCATTGCTGTATCATGGCTTTACCATCTCATATTGTTCTATCGTGAAATCTTATAATGCATATTCTCTTGGAGCTTATTATAGTCCTCTCACTAGTTTGTCCTCATATTATATTTTATATCCTCTCACTAGTTGGTTCCGTTCCTTTTGATGAATGACGAAGTGTGGTTGGCAGTACATGCTATACATTTTATTTTTTTGTTCACCTTAGAATTACATTTTTGCTAATTTTCAGCTTGTGTTCACCTTAGAATTTTATTTTTGCTAATGTCCACTTAGAATTTTATTTTTGCTAATTTCCAGTCGATTGATTTTAGTTTGTTTTTAGTCAATTTTTTGGTTTGTAGGTAGGTTCTTATCGGGTTTCCAAAGAACTAGGCCCATGTGGAGGGTCACTTCGTCCACATGGGCGAGGGGAGCAGAGCATTCTTTTGGAAAAGGTTATGCCTGCCCCCATGGGCGAGGTTTTCCTTTTGGTCCTGTGCCTACTCGTCCCTGATGTAACGAACTAGAACCTAGGATAATGGGAGTCAAGATGGAATCTTAGAGTGAAGCTTGGTATACAGTTCATGCATGCTCTACAAAGCAAGACGACCTGTAATCTCTACTTAAGAAGGCAGGAGGGAAAAATCCTATTTGACGCTCTCTGCCTCAAGCAGTCGAGCAACTGGGCCGGCCCATCTCCCACTGTAGGTGGCAGTTCCGGTTTTGGGAACCTTCCAGAGTCTCCCATCCGTTTTTTACCGGGTTGGGGAACCTTCTGGATTTCGTGTTTTTTTTCTTTTTCAATTTTCTGTTTTTCTTCTTTCCTTTTCTGTTTTTTTTTTCTTTTTCTTTCAAGTTTTTTTTCCTTTTTTGCAAGTTTTCATGTTCTGAAAATTGTTCGTGTTTCCAAATTTTGTTCTCAACCTTTAAAATATGTTCGTCATTTGAAAAATTGTTCCTGTTTTGAATTTTTGTTCACAAATTTAAAATTTGTTCAAGTTTTCACAAATTGTTTGTAAATTCATTTTTTTGTTCACATATTCAAAATTGTCCATGTTTTCAAATTTTGTTTGCATTTGAAAAATATTTAGGAATTTCAAAAAGTGTTCCAGCTTTTCAAATTTGTTCACAAATTTATAAAATGTTCATGTTTCAAATTTTGTTCACAAATTGAAAAAATGTTCCCATTCCAAAATTTGTTCGCAAATTTCAAAAAATGTTCATATTTACAAGTTTTGACGCTCCTATTTATGACAATTGTTCTCATTTCTAAAGTTTGTCATAAATTCAAAAAATGTTCCAGCTTGTCCAATTTTGTTCACATATTCAAAAGATGTTCATGTTTTTTGAACTTTGAAAAAATTGCGTTTTGAACAAATTGTTCGTAATTCCAAAAAATGTTCGTGTTTTGAAAAAAATGTTCGTAATTTTGATAAATATTTTGCGTTTTCAAATTTTGTTCACAACTTTAGAAAATATTCAGGTATTTCAAATCATGTTCCTGCTTTTCCAAAAATAAATAAATTCACATATTCCAAAAATAAATAAATTCACAAATTCACGTACAGGAAATAACATGCAAGTGAAATATCCCGCAACAGAGAGTTCTTAAACACAATCGTGATGCGCCATCGTTCAGATGCAGTCATTCAGTCAGGTGGTTAGCATCGCTTGTTGAGTATAGGGACGTCGTAGGTTTGATTCCCTGTGGCGTCGTTTCCGGTTTTGCGATTTTTTTACCATTGTACACACACCTCGGGGTCCTTATAGTGGTCCGACCCAGGCAGGAGAGCCGCTCACGCGACTCCGCAGTTCATGGGCTTAGGCCTGGGATTAGGGGACGCAACCCATGTGTCGTGACATCCGCCCCTCCCCCCCTCCCCCAAATGTGGAAATGGCGTAATGCCGCTCCTCTTGGAAACCCAACGATGTAGATCACCTTGACTCTCCCAAGTTGTGCAAAATGCATGCCAACAAATTACTTGAAACATAATCGACATGCCATGATTGGCGCAACGCCGAGCTGAGAACAACTTGCGGTATGGAAGGCGAATAAGTTGAGCTTGTCGCTAAAAGGCGTTCACCGGGGGAGGGGGGGGGATTGTGCTAGCGCTTCAGTTGGGAGACGTGGACGATTAGCCTAACTTTGGCAGGTCTAGGCAGTACGCAGTGTTTTCGATGCATCGGGGCACCATGTATGACTCGAAGAACCAGAATGACATCTTCTGGCCGGACCTCGTTGTCAAAGATGTTTGAATGCACTGTGGCATCTTCAGGAAGACTTTTTCACCCAAGGCAAGCTGTGCTCGAAATGCTTCTTATTTGCGTGATTCTTCATCCATTGTTAGGCTTGAAAGAGTTGTTGATGTCACATCGTTCTTGTAGCATGGTGTGTATGCCAGACACCACACTGGCCTTGTCCGCCACAATAAGAAGATGGAGAGGCTCGTGTCCGTAGAGCACTTCGAATGGGGTATTATCCAGAGCAGAATGGTACATGGTGTTGTACTAGTACTCGAGTAGATGCAATCATTCAAACCATTTTTGTGCAGGCATGAACAACACATCGCAGGTATGTCTCCATACACCAATTGAAGCACTTCGTTTGTTCGTATGTTTAGGGGTGATAAGTTGAGCTCATACGCTAGGCGACATCGTAGAGCTTGAACAGTTCTTGTCAGAGCATGCTTGTGACGATCCAATCGCTGTCGGAGATGAGCACTGATGTCCTGCAAATGCATAGGGTTGAGTTGTGGCTTTTCTGAAGTAAGAGTATCAAACCCAGAGCTAGGAAATGGTCTTTTTCATTGGAATGTGCCTGCAAGTTAGTTCTGATTCAAAGCAAAAGCTACACGAAAGTGTAAATAATGGAGTGTTTTTTTACGAGAATTAAAGTGCACAAGAATGGAAGTCAAGAACAAGAGAGTAGTGGAAGCGATGAAATATGCTGTGGGGTGTGCGATCTACCCTGAGTGTGCGATCACCACTAGTATGCATACTACTTAATCATGCAATCACATAACTCTAGTTTCAGATAACTAATCAACTTCATATGTTTTTACGTGTGGGTGGAGCTAGTACAAATAGGTGCATATTACCACAACTCCACATCAAACATGCCACCACTGTTCCGTTCATACCGGATAGAGGCAGCAACGATTAAGGGTCTCCCCATGAAGCAGTTAAGGCGGCCTCTCTTACTCCCCTATGTAAGTTCCGCGAAGGAAGTAGCTTCTGCCATCGCAATACCTAAGCTTCCATGCATCCCTCGGATAGTAAATCCTTGATGTCCATAGGAGAAAATTGGCGAAGAGCACTTGTTGTAAGGTGGAACCCTAATGGATGATATTTTCACACTTGGAGGGGAGAAAAGGAAAGAACAACAAGAACAAGAAGAGGAATCACTCAACAAAACCCAAATCACACATCCACTAGAATAGCATACATGAGATCCACAAGCATAACATGAACTATCAAAGGGAAGTAGCCCAAAGGTAAGGTTCTTCTGAAATCAAAAGGAGATGAGGTCTTGATGATCTAGAGAGATCCTTCTCCCTTAGGAGGTCTTGGTGATCCTATGATGCGGATCCTTCTACCTCAGGAGGTCTTGGTGATCCATGATTGAGGTACAAGGAGCAAAGCTCTCTCAGTAATCTCAAATACTTCACTAACCCTAACAAATGACCTAGGTACGAATTATATAGGTGTCTGGAGGTGAGGGATGAGTGGAGGAAAAAATAGGCAACTCCACGGCCAGCTCCCTGTTGAGCCTGTCCGCGCGGTCTAAGTGGGCCCTGTGTGCATGGGGGTCCTGTGGGCATGGTACATGGCCGTGCGCACGAGGTAGCAACAACTACAACGAAGGGGCTCGTGTGCATGGGGTGTCCAGAAACTCTCTGGATAGGCTGTGCGCACGGGGTCCAACTGGCCCTTGGGAACGAGGTCGCCTTATGTCTTCTTCTTCCAGCTTTTTGCCTCCATCTTCCTTGCGACCTTTGGATCCTTCTTCTTGGGCTTGGTGAAGCTCCTTTACTCCTTCGCGGGGTCGTCCTCATACCTAATGATGCACAAGTTTTCATGGTGAGTTAGCATCCACGTTCCATTCATATCCATGTCAAACTCGAAGAGGAGTGAGTTCATCTCATTTACGATGGCACTCGCGGGAGCTCTTGTCATGGTTCCACTTGGTGCTTGATGAGTCGGTGTGGTGTCCATGTGGATGACCGAAAGATGATCCACATCATCTCCCCCCGGGAAAGATCCGACCTTGGATCATTAACCTCATCACCATGGTAGGGAGATAGGTCCTTGACGTTGAAGATGTCACTCACATTGTACTTGTCGTGTGGAATGGCGAATGGCGATCTTGTAAGCATTGTCATTGTAGCGTGCTAGCACCTTGAATGGTCCATCAGTGCGAGGTAGTAGCTTGGACCTGCATTGGGGAAGCGTTCTTTGCGAAGATGTAGCCACACAAGATCTCTGGGGTTGAACACCATGGATGCTTGTTGATGTTTAGCTTGGTGGCGAGACGATGTACTTGGCGTTCAATTGTGTTCCTTGTATCTTCATGCGTTTTCTTGATGTATTTTTCTCTTGCACTCGCGTCCATGTTGGTTCTCTCTTGTAGTGGTAGCGGGAGGATGTCCAATGGAGACAATGGGTTGAAGCCATAGACGACCTCGGAGGGGG